CCGACCAGTGAACTCGACCTCCCTGTCGCAAAGGAAGTCCCGAATCACCTCGCGGAGATAGAGGGGCACCTCGAAATATTCGAGCGCCCCTACTATCTCCCTCCAGGGCAGGGAGTTGAAAGCGTTAGAAATATCCAACGACACCGCAATCAACACCCCGCCTGCAGCGACGGCTCCTTCGCGGAGGAGGCGCAGACGCTCAAGGGCATCTATTGTAGAGCGCCCCCTCCGGAATCCAAACTGGCCGTCGCTGAGATCAGGACCACCTGGGACAGGTGCTCAATGAGGCGGGCGGCAATTAATCTTTCGAACAACTTACCCGCCTTATCGAGGAGACACATCATCCGGTAAGCAGAAGGAGACTCTGCGGGCTTACCCTTCTTACGGAGGAGGACCAGACTCGCCTTTTTCCATACCTTGGGGAAGGTTTCCCGGGACATGTGAGAACTTAGCACTTCCATGTATGCCGGGGCGAGGACCTCGCCCACGGCTAAGGCCATAATTTTTCCAGGCACTCCATCTAGACCAGGCGCTTTGGCGCCTTTGTCCTGGAGTGCCCGGATGGCTAGGGATAGCTCTCCATGGCTGACCCGGAGCTCCTCCGACCATTCAACGGTCGGAGCCGGTAGACGCGTCGTCTCCGCCCACCCCGAATCATCGGGGGGAATAACGTGAAGACGACACGTCCCAAGAGCTCCGGATCCAGCTGCTCCGTTATAGGGGGCGCCCAAGGTCGAAGTTTATTGAGCACGACCTTATAAGGGCGCCCCCACGGATCCTTCGTCACGGTTGACAGGAGAGCGTCCCAGGCTACAGCCTTGGCCGAGGTAGTACCCCGCTTGAGGGCTTCAGCCGCCGACCTGTACACCTCGTACAGGTCGGCGACCATCGGTTACTGGTCGCCACCATGAAAATGGCGGCGACGAGCGCGGGTGTACCGGCGTCGGGCACGGTTGGCCTCCCTATGGAGCTCGGTCAACTCGCCCGACCACCAGTACACACTTCTTTTCTGGGGACGATCCCGGATCCGGGGCATCGCAAATCATTTGCAACGTTCTCCGGATCCATTCGGCCCCCTCTTCCGCTCCGCGCTCTTTGGCCAGGCAGTACCGATAATAACGGCCCTCAATAGGTCCTCGTCCAGTCGTTTCAGCGCCCATCTGGGCGCTGGACGGGTGCCACTACGGAGGGGCGTGTCCAATGGCGGTTCTGAGACCACCGCCACATCCATCAGGATATAGCAGTGGTCGGAGAGGGTTTCCCATCCCCACACCCGCCAATTAGACACCCGGCGCGAAGCGGCCGGGGTGGCCAACGTTATACCCACGATTGACCATTCGTTCCACCTCACGCATGTTGGGACGGACCCCCAGTTCAACACCAGTAGTCCGTGCCCCTCCAGCCAAGTTTCTAGGGCTCCGCCGCGAGGTCCGGTTCTGGGGTTCCCCCAATCCGTAGATCGGGCGTTGAGATTGCCCAGAACCAGCACCAGACCGGCTAAATGCGGGGCCATCATAGCACCCAGCCGGTCCAAATACCTCTCGAATTCGGCGGAGCCACTGTTTGGTGAACAGTAGCACCCAACGACCAAAAACCTTCCCCATCTTACCAAGATCATACCCCTGCCCCGTTAGACCACGGAACAGGGGGGCACACCACGACCCACTCGGCACCACATCGCCACGGAGCCCGCCTCGTCCCCGAATCAGTGCGGATGTTCGGGGACTCGATAGGGCTCCGCGGCCACCGCCAGGCCAACCTGCGACTCCGCCAGGCATTGGACGAAAAGGTCCTGCGCCCGGCGCAAGGCAGCGGTAGCACTGAAGCGGTCTCGCGGCCAGCACCACCACCCGGGCTGCAGACCACCCCACCCTTATTGTGCCCGCCTTTTGAACGGCGACAGCCACCGCGGCCGAGCATTGCACCCATATAGTTCCCATTCCGGAGGGGGGGATCTTAAGGGACCCCACCCTCACGGAATCCGGGGAACATTTCCCGATGGCTGCTACCGCCAGCGCTATCTCCTGGGGGGTGACGGAGACGTCCAGTCCCGTCAGGAGGAATTCCGTTTTCTTGACGGGTCTGGGCACCTTTACGTTCATCCCCCCCAGCACCGTCTTCATTTTGTCCGCCAGGGCATCGGCCCTGGTGGCACCCTCAGCACCGGGAACCTGAATGATCAGGCCCCCGGTCACAGCCCTCTTTCACGAGAGGGCCTCAATACCGAGCGCCGCCAGGTCAATGCCCCGGCGAGCCACTCGCACGGCCTCCTCGTATGTCGCGTATCTCCCCTCCAGAACGGTGATCGTCACCGCCGCCGTTCGCGGGGGAGGCACTACGCGAGGAGGCCCGCTCTTCTGGGTCCTCCCCGTCAAAGCTCTCCCAGTTGCCTTCGTTGCGGCCGGGGGAGTGGCTACCGCGGCACTCTCTCCTTCCTCCTGGCTTTCCGGCCAAGGACCTGGGTCCATGCTTCCCAGGCATGGCCGGAGCCACAGGTGGTTCCCTCGGTGGAGGAGGCACAAGCGGCGGCGGAGGAGCAAGGGTCGGAAGAAGAAAAGGAGCCTTTTTCTTCTTTTTCCTCCTCCTCTTCTCCCTTTTAACGGGGGGAGAAGGTACCGCCACGCCCCGAGGAACCCCTGTCGTCGGCACCGCGGTGGAGGGGACCCGTCCCCCCGTCGCCGACGCATAGCTCCTCGCATGAGGAGGAGAGGGGGCACCCCGCCGACCCAGTCGGAGCTCTCCGCGTATTGCCGCGAATTCCGCATTAATAAGCGCCCCAATCTGGCCCATCAGAGCGCCCGCTCCCCCGGCAGAGGGTGCATCCCACCGGCGCTTCATAGCTAACAGCTCTCCTCGGAGAGCATCCAGGGACTCCTTTTGTTCCCGGATCTCCTGTCGGAGAGCTGCGTTCTCCGCCTGGAGAGCCTCCATCTCTCCAATGGGCTCCTGCGCCGCCGAGGAGAGGGAACCGCAGGGTCCATGAGGCATGTTCCTCGCCTCCAGCTCTCTGACCGCAGCCTCGATCTCCCTAGCCGCGTCCTTGAAGGCACGGATGGCCGTGCTCTTCGGGTTGGAGCTACTCGCCGCGGCGACCTCCACCACGCGACTCGCGTCAACCACCGCGGCCAGCAGCTCCCCCTGCAGGAGACCCCTCAACGCCTTCCGGCGCATAGCCACCGTAGGGGCCGGGTCTCGGTAGCGGGACCTTTTCGCCCCGTTCGATCGAGCGGTAGAGGCGTCAGCGTCGTCCGCATCAACCGCCGGAATCCCGCGCTTCGCCGACCGGAGGCTCGACACCCTCGAGCCTACCGACCGCATGTCTTCCTCGCGAGGACTCCCCCCGATCTGGTGGAGGACGAACCGCGGCCATGGGGGGCCCTCCTCTCGCGAGGAGCCGGCAGCACGGGTTCGCCGACTAGCCTCCATTGCAGTGTCGGCTGCCGCAACTGCCCCGGACCCAGGACCCTCGCTTCGGAGGCTCTGCCCCTCCGCTCCTTCTTCACTACCACCACCACCAGTCGACTGGTGGCTCATCTCGACTTCCCGAACCGGGGTAACTCCACCCCTGCTCTCGCCGGCCGATCCGGCTCCACTGATTCCTACGGTTTTAAATAAATTTTCCATGATTTAAGGTTTACCGGCGCATCGTGCGCGGCGGTGCAGGCTGCTGGACGGGAACGGGTGTACCCTCGGGGGACATGCCTAACGAAAAACATGCCCCCCTACCCCAGTTCCCCGGGGCCCGTCCTTCGCATTTAACCCCCCGGGAATACCGCACCGGGGGGCACCCGCCTGTAACAGGTGCAGGCTCCGACACCCGCATCTCACCGCGCACTACTTGGTCGAAGTCCCGCAGGGGCCGGTTCCTGATCCCGCGCGGCACTACCACCTCGGCAGTGCAAGCACACATCGCCCCCCCCCTCCCCCTGAGGCCAGCAAAAGCAAAGCCAGCGCACAGGGGAGAGCACTCCCAGTGGGCCACCGCGCGGGAACGACCACTCTTCGCCTTCCCAACTCATCGCTTTCGCCCTCCGCATTCAGCAAATCGGTGCTCGCAAGCGAGTCTCGACTATTGATGCAGAAGCCCAGGAGCACCACGTAGAGGTGCGATGAGTGGACTTGGGCCAGTCGGGCCCCCAACTTCTCCAAAGTTCCCCTCATTGTCCGAGCAAACTCGAACGGATATTGGTGGAACATCAGATCCATCGGGGTTCTCGACCAGGCGATGCCCGGACGAGTCCCTTCCAGCCCTCACGCTCCCTGATAGGAGGGCACCTGGAAATATTCCAACGCCCCTACTATCTCCTTCCAGGGCAGGGCATTGAAAGCATTGGATATATCCAATAAAACAGCGATCAACACTCTGCCCCGAGCGACAGCCCCATCCCGGAGGAGGCGAAGACGCTCTAACGCGTCAATCGTCGAGCGCCCTCTCCGGAAGCCATACTGGCTGTCGCTGAGGTCGGGACCACCGCGCGACAGGTGCTCGAGGAGGCGGGCAGCTATGATTATTTCTAACAGCTTGCCCGCCTCGTCGAGAAGACACACCGGCCGGTACGCAGAGGGTCACTCTGCGGGTTTTCCACCTTTCCGGAGGAGAACCAGCCACGCCTTTTTCCACACTGTGGGGAAGGTTCCCCGGCTTAGGTTAGCGTCCAAAACGCTTCTGTACGCCGGGCCGAGGACTCCCAAGGCCAAAGCTAGCAGGCTACGGGTACTCCATCCGGGCCCGACGTTGAAGGGATGCTACGTCGGAGGGGGACGTCCGCTGGCGGTTCCCCACGTTCATAAGGACGTAGCTGTGGTCCGACAACGTTTCAACCTCCCAGACCCGTCAGTTAGACACTCAGCGTGAGGCGGCGCCTGATGCAAACGATACGTTCACGATGGACCAGCCGTTCCACCTCACGCACGTTGGTACGTTGCCCCGGTTTAGCAACTGGAGCTCCACTTCCTCCGCCCAATCCTGTAGGACTCCGCCGCGGGAATTGGTTCCTGGGTTACCCCATGCGGTAGACCTTGCATTGAGGCACCGGATCGGCCATGTAGGGGGCTACCAAAGCCCCAAGCCGGTCCAAATACCTCCCGAATTCTGCGGAGCCACAGTTGGGAGAATTGTAGCATCCAGCGACTACGAACGTTCCCCATTTTACCAAAATCATCCCCCTGCCCCGTTCGATGACGGTGCAGGGGGGGACGGACGCCGAGTGGCGGCGGCACCACACCGCCACGAGGCCGTCCTCGTCCCCGAACCAGTGTGGATGGTCGAGGACTTGGTACAGCTCCGTAGCTACCGCTAGGCCAACCCGACACTCCGCCAGGCAGTGGACCATAAGGTCCTGTGCCCGGCGGCAGTGGTTCAGGTTGGCCTGCAATACACCAAGGGAAGCCCTGTGCGCCATTTTTAGGCCGGCACAGGACCTCTCTCAGACGGCTGCGTGGGTGGGGGGAGGGAAACCACCTCTCGGAGACCCTCGACATCCCGGCGGAAGGACGCGTTCTCCCCCCTGAGGGCTCGGTTCTCCGCCAGCACCCTGTCCCACAGGGCGGCAGGCGGACCGTCGATGTCCACAGGGGGCGAGGCATCTTTACTTTGGGCTCGTTTGGCCGACGCCCGAGTCACCGGGGGCGACGCGGGCCGATGTATACCAACCCGGCGCTTGACCCCGGCGCAAGATACCGAGGACATGGACGTCACGGAGACGTCATCGTCCTCAGCATCGCCCAGCCGGGAGCCTGCCCGCGGACAGACCGGATGCTGACGAACCAGCAGCCCTCAGCCCACGTGTCGACGATGCCCTAGAGCTGAGCTTCGTTGAAGCGCCTTCCTCCGCGACCGCTTCCGAGCGCGGCAGCCCTTCTAACACCACGAAGCACTCGCGTGCCCCGCTCGATGTCCCAGACCTGGATGGTCCAAGAACATCCACCACCCCGGTTTCTCCACCCCTGCACTCACCGGACTACCCGGCTACAACGCTTCCTATATTTTTTAAATGATCCATGTTTTAAGGTTTACTAGCGCATCGTGCGCGGTGGGGCGGGCCGCAGGACGAGAACGGGTGTACCCTCGGGGGGCCTGCCTAACGAAAGACAGTACCCCCTACCCCAGTTCCCCGGGGCCCGTCCTATACGTCCCCCCCCCCCCCGATCCCGGGAATTCCGTACAGGGGGGACCCGCCCGTAGCAGGTGCAGGCTCCGACACCTGCACCTCACCGCGCACTACCCGGTCGGGGTCCTGAAGGGGCTGCCTCCTGATCCCGGGCGTCGCTACCTCCTCGGCAGCGCAGGCGCACATCGGCCCCTCACGTGAGCGACCGAAAGCAAAGCCTACCCACGAGGGGAGCACTCCCAGAGGGCCACCGCCAGGGAACGACCTCTCCTCGTCCCTGTACAGCGATTTTCATCCCTACTCAGTGTAAGCCTTACCGGCTTGGGAGGCCCTGCCAGGATCCGAAGATCCCGCCGGCATCGCCTCACACATCACAGAAGCTACTTCCCGCCGCGTACCCCTCTTCTCGTTAGCGGCGCACAACTACGTTCGCCCTCAGGGTCCACCACGAGAAGGTGGGGAGAGAGGGTTTTAGACCTACGACATCCCTCAAATAGAGAGAACGGATCCACAGTGGGTCAGAGCCACCACTGTGGACGTCCCAGATCCTCCGGACCCCTGGCCGACGACCAGCCTACGAGTAGGCGGCCAGTAGCCAGGAGGGTCCTCATGGGAGCCGCCGGGCAGCGCAGCCAGACGGCGCCGAGCCCGAACCCGGACAACCGGACGATGCCGGTGTGGACATCGTCCACCCGGCACTCGGTGACGCCGGCAACTGCCGCCGCCAGGCCGCCAGCCGTGACGTACTCGTCCAAGGCCGCTAACTCGCGCTTCGGCGGTCTTAATAGGCCTGGACACCCTTACGTCCGTGCCGGCGAACAGCTCCGCCAAGCGAGCGGCCAGGCGGTCCGTCCCAGCAGCGCTGTCCGGGCCCGGGATCTCCAAGATGGAGGACCCAGTCTGCCCTTTGCGGTACCGGACGCCGGTGACGCCGACATCCTGCAACCGCACGCCGGCGACCACCTTCGCCATGACCTCGGAGTAGGTCATGGCACTGCCCGGGGCGACGGTAAGTGATACCGCCGCCCTCTTCGGCGCACGCGGCGGACGAACACGCCGATCGGTCGGAACGCCAGCCAGCTGCGCCCCGCGCGAGCGAGAACGCGCAGCCTCCCCACGCCTCTCCTTGCGTCCGAGAACCTGCGACCAGGTCTCAGGTGCCGGACGGGGCACGGAGGGCGCTACAGGCGCGGCTGAAGGTTTCGCCCGGGACGGAGCCGGGGCAGGCGCGGCACGGGGCCGGTCCCGGCCCGGCAAGGCAGCAGCAGGTGGGGCAGCACCGCCACCCACTTTCTTCTTCCCGCCATTCTTCTTCCTATTCCGCTTCCTTGCCGGCCACTCCCTGTCCGTCCCTGTCCCACGGCGACTCCGCAATCTTGAGGGGCCAGGGTCCCTCGCAGGTGGGATCGGCGCGACCCACGGTATCCGGGAAGTCGCACACTCCGCGGCTGCCACCGACGAGACCGCGCCCAGACGCGCCGCGAGGCGCACCTCCATCTTGGATCGACGGTCGTCGGCACCGGCGGCACCCGGGCAGCAGCGTCCGAGCCCCGCGCCAGCCGAGCCTCCGGCTCGGTCATGCGGGCCCTGAGCTCCGCCACCGTCCTCTGCAACTCCACCTCCCGGGCCGAGGTTTTGACTCGATTTGCCTGCTCGATAGCAGCGTGTTTGATAGTGACCGCTGCCACCCGCAGCTGGCGCACCATCGGCCCCTAGAGGTTGTTGGAGCATTTGGCCACCCTCAGGACCGCCTCCGAACTCTCGAAAATACGAACTCTTCGCCCTTGAGGGGCTTGCAGGACCTGGAGATACGGACGGAGGACACTAATAGGTCTGCAACGTCCATCACCAGGTCCATCTCCCTCTCGCGAAGCTTCTGCTCACTGAGCTTACGCTTCGCATCGGCGAGACCGACATAATCCCCTGTGATAGGGGGTCGACCTCATTTTCTCTTTAACGAGGACTAGAGGGAGCTCGCCGACCACACCGTGCTGACTGACCCGTTCGAGTCAGCGCTGCCGTCGGACGCGACCGCCGCTGCCAGGAGGCGGCCGGAGCGGAGCTCCCGTCCCTCCACCCTCTCTGTCTGGACGACAGGCTGCACAAAGAACACGTCAATGTCACGTGTAGTTTTCCGTATACGAGAACGCTATGCAAGAGGCCCTAGCCGCCCGTTTATTACACTCAAGTTGTAATGTTTTATTGCGACCACGGGATGCGACGGTACTTCCGAGTGACCAGGGGTTTTCCCAAATTTAGAAACTTGGCAGCATTAACCGAGAAGCGTTTGAGGAATGGCAGCAGTAGCCCACAATCATTCGCGGAAACATCGTGGAAAACATTGTGTGAAAGAAAAATGTGCGACGAGGTTAAGGCAACGAAACGAACGGGGAACATATCCCGCGAGCAGAAAGAAATTCTTATTGAATTTATTGAAGCAAATCCAAACCTAACGAGATCGATTATACATATAAGGTTGGGCAGCGTTTATGGAAGAAGTAACAAATATTTTAAACGCTTCGCCAGGGGCGAAGAAAGACTGGAAACGATGGAGACGCGTAAGTGTTTACATAGTGTTTATAAATGTTTTATATTCAATTTTGCAAAAGCTGCATTAACATATTTTTTTTCCTTTGTAAAATAGACGTGGCAATATTTCCGAGGCAAAGTGAAGGCTAAGCAGTCTTTAATTAATAGAAATTTAAATGCCACAGGCGGTGGTTCATTATGGGGGTAGACACGCACTTGACCTGTCCGATTCGGCAGGTCGGTATTACAGCAGCTACTCTCTGCATAGAAATGGTATTACCATTAGATATGCGGCAGCGGAAGAAAACTAGATGGAGCTGCTCGTTATTGCCATACAGTATAGTTTCTTCTCAAAAACATATACTGTATACTTTGTCCTTAAGGGATTCCGAATGTTCAGCGTAGTAATTTTAAAGTGATTTAAATGGGAAGTACGTTGATAGTGCAAGCGTAAAAAGTTAATTGTTCGAAATGTTTTTACGTTATAATAGTTGCAATAAGGAATTATGAATGAAAAGGAAAAGTAGGTCACGGGATATTCCAAGAAAATGAAATTTGTTACATTACACATTTCTTTATTAGCGAGAAGGAAAAATAAATGAGGGGAAATCCCCAGAAAATAAAGTTTCTTAGTTTGTATTACATTTTTTACATGAAAGTTTCGACGATTAGCTTGGGGTAGATTAATACATAAATAGCAAATGGATATTGAAACACTGACAAAAAGGGATTTAAATTCTGACCTGTAAAGTACAAACCTTTTTTTATTAACAAAATACTACAGCAAACAGGAATGCTATACGCTTATTATAAGATTATTAAACGTCCTATGTAAAAAGAAGTTATTGAACAAATATTATGTATAAAATTAGGTTGAGACGATACCGGATCTCTTGAACTGTTACGCTGTACACCTTAGTTTCACCTGTAAAAATAAATAAGTTTAACAATAAGTACTTTTTGAATTTATACTACTTTAATGTAAAAACTGATACCTACACTTCCTGAAGACTCCATTACTAGTGTTGACTATTTCTGAGAAATATTTTGTTGCAACGGCACTGACCGCTTTCGATTGCAGTTACTGGTTGTAGAACCTGAGGTAAAAAGTTAGAACAAGTTGTAATAACTCAGTATGCAATAAACATGTTAATATTTATGTGTTAGTTATATATCAGCATGCATGCATTGCAAACACTTACTTTCTTTCCTCTATGCATATATGGTGATTTTCAATTAATACAATTATTTCCATCGGACGACGCATACATGTTTTGAAGTATCATGCTATACACTCTGGTTTCATCTATAAAAATAAAGAAGTTTAATACAAATTACTTTTTGAGTTTATACTAATTGAATGTAAAAACTGATACCTACGTATCCTGAAGAATCCATTACGGGTGTTCTCAATTTCTGAAAAATATTTTGTTGCAATATCATTGACCCCTTTCGATTCTAGTTTCTGGTCATAGAACCTGTGATGAAAAGTTAGAACGAATTGTAATCAATTTGTATACAATAAGACTGTAAATGTGTGTATGTTACTTATCTGTATGCAAGCATTGCAAATACTTGCTTTCTTTCCTTATTTCATATAGCTTGGTTTTTGTCTTTGATACTGGTCAACAAAAACTTATTATTTTCAATTAATCTAAGTATTTTCATAACAAAAGTATAAGTGTCATACTTACACTTTCATACGTGTTATTTCCAATTGAACTGAAAGAATAGCTGGAAGTAAAAATTATTAGGAGAGTGGGAAGAGCCCCACCCCCGTCATAGACGATTCTCTTCATTCTCCATATACGCATATTTTCCATATTTTCGTACTTACAGTTTGGAATATTGCTTATTCCAGAGCTTCTCCTATCCGCTGAATGCACTCGCCGGTGCATTTGTACCTTATTACGTATACAGCTCCTCATATGCGCTGAATGCACTCGCCGGTGCATTTGTACATTACTACGTATACAGCTCTTCATATGAGCTGAATGCATTCGCCGATGCTATTGCGATATTATCATCAATCGTTATATGTACTTCATTGTGTACTTGTACATGCTCTTCCTGTTTTTATATATGGAGGTTCTCTAATCGGCTGGTGTCGATTAAATCTACTATCTATGAGTTCTGGCACATGGAGTCCTCATAAAACTTCTTAAGTTTTTCCTCCATCTCTGTTGCCCAGAACTGATCATTTCTTGGTACTTGTACAATTTTCACTCCTTTCGGCGTCCATAAATCAAATAGACAATATTGTCTATTTGTTATGTGCAGCTGTTCTTGCACTTGATAATAGTAGTGGTGATTTTTATTCATTTCATCACCTCGAAAGATACGCCGTATCACAGGTAACTGCTGTATTGCTTCAGCAGGCGATAAATCCTTGGCCGATTCCGGGCATTTCACTTCGACGATGGTATCATCGTCTACGATGCCATCAGGAGTTGCACCTAAGTAAGGCACAATGGCATCGATGAAGAGGCCACATGGTCGAATATGAATTCCTAATTCGTCTTCCAGTTGCCTCAAGGCGTTTGCCTCGTTCTCCCTTCCGTATTGTAGGCAACGTAGATTTGGTATTTGCGGATACATTATACTTTTTGAAGTATTTGCCCGCGGTGTATCTTTTCGTAATCGGTATATCTTGCCGAAATTGGATGCGGTTAATAATTTTCTCCTGTAAGATATCCATTTCTCGCTTTCCGCTTGATCGCGAGTTTCTGCTTCGATCTTCCATCTCATATTTTGCCATTCACGGAGTGTAGTCAAATGCCTTTCACAGTCGGAAGAGTACACTGTTGCTTCCATATCCGGTTTTTCTGCGCTGGGGCCGTAATCCTGATCGCACGATTGTTGCTGATTTTTGTGGGATGATACTTTCGCTTTTTCTTTATATTTCTTTGCCATATCTGCTGCACGCTTCCGAGATTCTTCCATTTTCCTCACGGTCGTTGTCGATTCTTTGTCATTGCTATACTCAATTTGCTGAACGTCTCTTTCGTGTTGAATTGGACGACAGCAGCGTTGACTCTGCCCTGATACGAGCCTCTTCGTCCAAAATTTATTCTTTTACCTCCGATAAATTTGGCAATGATATTATTAAAGTTTCAACAGCATTATTATTTAGAGCGTATAGCAAACTTTCAGCTTTAGCAAAAAGTGGCTGCATCGCTCCTTCGATATTTTGATATATACCGGCTTCTTTCAGCTTTGGATCATAATTCACTCTGTCGGGATCAGAGTATTTCTTACAAAAGTATGCTAACTTCTGGCAGTTCTTGTGCTCCCCGAAAACGTGACTCGGTACATTTTTCATATCTTCTTTCAAATTTTATATTTGTTCAACGAGTTTTAATTTTTCTTTAGATCGGTATTCTGCAGCTTTCTTGATACCTGTACGCAGACGTATAGCATTCTGTTGTACGATAGCTCTTAGCTCCTTGTGGCGGCCTTTTGTTGCAATATCGGTAATTTTTCTACCGAAATTGCGAAGCAGGTGATTGGCGCATTCTATTTTGCGTACACGCACCATGTACTTTTCATATGGATAATTGTCCAATATCTTCTTCTACACGCTGCTACCGCCATCGGCAACAAGTATAGAGTAGATGAGGCCGTGCATTTCTATGCTGCACTTGAACCCTTCCACAATAGCAGCACTTTCCATCCCAGTCGAATTCTGGTTACGACCCCAGTTTTTAAAGCATCGATGCTCGCGCACTTCTTCCACGTTCTTCGCCGCTCTCTGGCAAATCAGGCAAAATTTATTTTTCACGCTTATGTATAATACTTTTTTAGTGTGGTACCCCACAATGGCTCCTACTCCAGAAAGGGAATTGTAATCACCTCCGCGGTATGACCTCTTCATCCAGCTGTCATCTGCGATAACTGATATCCACGGTATATCAGTTCCTGGAACTATATCGCCCCTTGTTCTGGCTAATTCTTGTTCCTCTCTTCCTACATTTTCCATTCCGCGTTGTGCGGCCACTTCGAAGGCATCGATTATGTCATTCTGACATTTCTCGTATATCGTTTTCGTCATGCAGGACACGTCCATGGCAGACATTACTTCTTCCAGTTGATTGTATCCGCCACCCGTCACCATTGTTGCGGAAACAGCGGCGTGGTTCATATCCATGCTGCCATCATTCTGCTGAAGACAGGATATACGCTCCACATGATTGCACATTCGGCATTGAACATTGTACGTCTTTTCCAATCCATACTGTTGACATCCAATTATTTCAAAATGTTCAATGCCGCAGGCTATAGGCGAATGTTTTTGCAAATTTTTTATTTGTTCGAAAACACGCAAAATCGGATAAATCTATTCTACTGGATATTGAATTGTTTGACTGTTGTGGCTCCGCCCGCTCTACAACATACACTGACGGACAAAATTAAAGGGACACTATTTTAAAACGTCATATCTATGGGAGTTTCCAACCGATTTTGGGGAAACTTCGCGAGGAGTAGTTTTGAAGTGTCCTCTAAACGTGTGCAAAGTTGCATTGGCGAGGATTGATACGAAGGGGTTAATTCGCCCCCGTAAAGAGGGGCACGTCGAAAAACGCCACTTCTGAGGGGACCAGGGGTGACGGAAGGGGTTGAAAAAATTAAAAGAAACATTTGTGGCGACCCTCCTCGATGCCCTCAACAAAATGCACCCTTCAAAATCCCTGTCGGGCAAACCCACAACACCTCACAACACCCTACCCCCTCCAAAATTCACAATTTTTGGACTTCAGTCCCGAATTTGGGCTCAATGCATTCCCTGGAATCTCCTGATCCAGGAAATGCCAACACTCACGCCGTGCGCCCCATAGGGACCCCTTAGAGGGATGGAACAGTTCGCCACTTTTCAACACCCTTCGTAAGGGAGCACTTCCGCACCTCGAAGGGCGATGAAATTCACCATGGTTTATTCTCGGTACGTTAAGGATCAATGTCATTTAAAGCTCGTTTCGAAAACTGCCCCTGGAGCTGAACAGGGTGGCCCAGAGTTAAGGGTGGTCCACCCACAGGTGTAGGGGTTGGAACGATGTTTCGTTGCGTGGAACACATGTGATACGGTCCAAGGCATTGGAGTGACACAGTTTTGATGTCTTTTCCCCGCGTGGATAGCATTAAAGTACGAAAATGTCGTTTTTTTTTTGGAAAACCCATCCGCGAGTTTAGGCCTGTGTACCAGGTGAACGAGTAACCACACGTCAACGCCGTTCATGGATTCGGACGCGCGAATGATTTATTAACAGGTCCATAAAAATTCGGATACTTTGAATCACGCTTTCATTGTCAAATCGGAGTAGATTTGAAAGAGTATTAAGGGGGCCGGACGGAGCCGGCATTCAAGAGCGCCTGGAGTTACGCAACCAACCATTCCTCGTACCTCGCTACGGATTCTCTCGCGTCCCTCGACTGAAGCGTTTCTCACACGGTCGCGTCGCGCAAACGGTATTTTCTTGTGTTCAATCGAGTGTGTTAGAAGAACGCCCTTCCAAAGCGGACGGCTTAATTTTTGCTATTTAATTGAATGGAAGAGTTCGGTGCGTAGATGAGATTGACCTTTTATTGTAGACCGATTACTGAGCGCGTAAACCTCGAAACCAAAGAATGTTGATTTATTACCGTAAATTCTCGGAAATCGACGTGTATAGTACATAATAAAAATATGTAAAAAAATAAATCTTACCATTACATTAGGGAGATTCTCGAACAGGGTGTTCAATATAAAAAGACATTTTGCAGAAAAAAAAAAACAAAACGACAAAAACTTTAATTTCTGAGATTTTTCATGAAACTCTAAAGAAGTGTAGCGGCTATCGGCGCGTACAATAAAACATTTGGCGTGCAGATGGTCGGGTAAATTTTGTAACGCAAAACAATACATAATAATAAAAATAAAATAAATCTTACCAGTACGTTCGGAGATTCTCGAACAGGGTTCAATAAAAAGAGACAATGTACAAAAAAAATTTCTTTTATTAAACATTAACGAAGTAACGAGGATAAATTTCTAAATTTGGAAAACAAAATAAATAAATTTTTAAATTTAGAGCAAATACAGGGTTCAGTAACGTGTGTTTCCCCATTTTGCTTTTATCGAGTCAGTTTAAGGGACAAACAACAGCCAAGCTACAGTTTTTGAGAAAGCCATTTTCTGTTCGTAATTTAGGCATACATATCATATTCTACAGGGTGATCGATCGACATTGTAAACTTTATGACGGTGACGTTTCTGCTCGGCACACACATTTACACCCACACAGCCGCTTTCGCTGCGGGGGTGCCCCGTCATAAAGTCTACAATGACTGTCGGCTATTGTTGTCGTTGTCCATTGTGTCTACTAGCGAGCAGATCATTTTCAATCATCAATTATAGGAGCTATTAATTTTATTGTTACTATTTTAAATATAAAAAATTCTAATTTAAATTATGATCAAATAACTTTATTTTCCTGATCAGTTATAATTACAGCAATTCTTCTCTTATTATCTTTACCTGTTTTAGCAGGAGCAATTACTATATTACTATCTGACCGTAATTTTAATACTTCATTTTTTGACCCATCTGGTGGGGGAGATCCTATTCTTTATCAACATCTATTTTGATTTTTTGGACATCCAGAAGTTTATATTTTAATTTTACCCGGATTTGGGTTAATTTCTCATGTAATCTTTAATGAAAGTGGGAAAAAAGAAACATTTGGAAATTTAGGAATGATTTATGCAATATTAGGAATTGGATTTCTAGGATTCATTGTTTGAGCTCATCACATATTTACAGTAGGTATAGATGTAGACACTCGAGCTTATTTCACTTCCGCAACAATAATTATTGCTGTTCCTACAGGAATTAAGGTATTTAGATGAATAGCAACATATTATGGAGTAAAGATTAAAATAAACCCTTCTATTATATGATCACTAGGATTTATCTTTTTATTCACTACAGGTGGACTTACAGGAATTATATTATCAAATTCATCAATTGACATTATCTTACACGACACGTATTACGTTATTGCTCATTTCCACTATGTTCTATCAATAGGAGCTGTTTTTGCTATTATTACAAGATTCATTTATTGATTTCCCGTTTTCACCGGTTATTATCTAAATTCTAAACTACTTTATATGCAGTTTATATTTATATTTATTGGGGTAAATTTAACATTTTTCCCTCAACATTTTCTTGGTTTAATAGGAATACCACGACGATATTCGGATTACCCTGACTCTTATTATTGTTGAAATGTTATATCTTCAATCGGAGCTATTATTTCATTAAATAGATTAATTTTACTTATTTATATTATTTTAGAAAGATTAATTTTAAAACGAATAATTATTTTTAAATATTTTCAATCTTCACTTGAATGGTTACAAACTTATCCTCCTATAGATCACTCATACAATGAACTTCCAATTATAATAAATAAAAATTTAATGTAATTAAATTTAATATGGCAGAAAAAGTGCAATGAATTTAAGATTCATAAATAAAATTATTTTTTATTAAAAATTTCCCATTGAAAGATAATTTCATTTCAAGACCCAAATTCACCTTTTGCAGATAATTTAAATTTATTTCATAACTTTACTATAATTTTCATAACTACAATTGTTACTTTAACATTTATAGTTATAATTGATATTTGTTTAAACAAATTTACTAATCGATTTCTATTAAAAAATCATAATATAGAAATTATTTGAACAATTGCTCCTATTTTAATTTTAATAATTATCGCTTTTCCTTCATTAAAAACATTATATTTTATTGATGAAATTTGAAACCCAACATTTTTTACAATTAAATCTGTAGGTCATCAATGATACTGAAGATATGAATATCCAGAATTTAATGGAATTGAATATAGTTCTTATATAATAAAAAGTATTGAAAATATAAGAACATTTCGACTGTTAGAAACAGATACCCGATTAGTTATCCCTATAAAAACACCTATTCGTATATTAACAACATCAACAGATGTAATTCATTCATGAGCTATCCCTTCATTAGGGATAAAAATAGATTCAGTTCCTGGTCGTATTAATCAAATAACTTTATTTGTATCACGTCCAGGTCTTTACTTTGGTCAATGTTCCGAAATTTGTGGTGTTAATCATAGATTTATACCTATTATACTAGAAAGAACTAATTTTAAAAATTTTACAAATTGACTAAAATCAGTTTAAAAAAAATTAGTTAAATAAATAACATTAAATTGTCATTTTAAAATTATTAATTTTTAATATTTTTTCATTAGATGTCTGAAAAGCAAGAACTGGTCTCTTAAACCACATAATAGTATAAGCAAATACTTCTAATGACTTTTAATTCCACAAATAATACCAATAAAGTGATTATTAATTTATAGAATTTCCATCTCAATAATTTTTATATTTATCATAATTATTTATTATCAAGCTACTAATTTTACTCCCTCTAATAAAGGAGTTTTACATTATAAGAGTTGAAACTGAAAATGATAACAAATTTATTTTCAATTTTTGATCCTACTACAAGATATTTTAGAGCTTTAAATTGATTAACTTTATTTATACCATTATTATTTTTACCATACTCTTACTGAATTCTGCCTTCTCGTATACAAATTATTTTAATAATATTTGTAAATTTAATTTTTAAAGAATTTAGATTATTAACAAAAAATATTTATAAATCTAATATTATTATTTTTGTTAGAACATTAATTTATATTTTATTAATAAATGTTATAGGCTTAATTCCTTATATTTTTACTTCAACTAGACACCTATCAGTTAATTTATCCATTTCATTAACTTTATGGTTAAGATTCATATTTTATGGTTGAGTAATTAATACAAGTTCTATATTTATTCATTTAGTTCCTTTAAATACTCCATTAATACTAATAAATTTTATAGTTTTAATTGAGTCAATTAGAAATTTCATTCGCCCATGAACTTTAGCAATTCGGCTATCAGCAAATATAATTGCGGGACACTTATTATTATCATTACTTGGTTCTTCAATAAATAATATGTTTATTTTTTT